GATCCGATCCCCTTAAAGGTCTTTTGGAAATTGGGGCAAAATTTGCATGTTTGTAAGGTTAGAGAGCAGGAAACGTGGAGAGACGCGAGTATGCAAATTTTCCGATGATTCACGGAAAAAACGGCTCTGCTGGCAAAGCCCCCAGAAAATAACCATGCAGACGTAGATCAAACTTCAGCTACAATTGAAAGTAGTCAGCTCGAAACGCTATGCAAAAAAAACGGAGAAGAGAAGTAACGCGGGCAAGAGGGAGCAGAGACGATTTAGGCTGATTTTAGCCCTGAAACAGGATTTATGCTAATTCAGGTGCCCTCCTTGTTAGTTTAATGGCCTGGTAGAGTCCTGAGGAAAAATTCTAAAAAAAGACAAAGCGCGTGCTGAGACCAACGCTGCGCATATATTAGGTTGCATACAGTGATGCCATATCAGACAACCCATCTATCGTATTTTATTAACTTACCGCCGCCAAATGTGGGATCTTGGTGAAATTGCCAATTTACTAACCGATAGCGTGGAAAGTCCGGAGAAGAAAATTTCCATACACGGACGACTACGGTAGTGGAACAGCAGCTCAGCAACGCAAGTATAATTTTTGCATGTTTTGCAATTTTTGCAAATTTAAGGCCGGGTCCTTAAATTCTATAGGGTCGAGTTGCCTGCAATACACACTCTATATGCAATCAAAATTATAACCTGTTACATTGCATTACGTTCAAGGAAAGCGTAGCAGAGCAACAGATATTGCCCACCTGGCGCCTGTAATTCCGTATTTTTTGATACGTCGAGCGCTCCGTTTTTGGGCCTTTTTTTATGTCCATTTTTGCGGTCTGGCTCATAATTTTTAATTTGCTCAAAGAATACCATCCTTAAAATTTTACGTCACGGTACGGTGGCGGTTAAAAATGGAGGACGTGGTGCCATTTTTAGCCTGTGGCTCGACCCGGCTTAAAACGTGATAACATTCAAGCCACCAGTTGTGTGATAATTAAGGCGATTGAAATGGATTGCCACACCAGTTTTCAATTTTAAGGAAGGTTCTAGCGGTGCTCTGCCGACCCGGACTAAATAGTTACCTTTTGCCGAACCTAGCACCAAAAAACGTGCTACGACAAAATGGCTCACTACCGAAATCGGAAACCTAGCAGCCGCTAAACCACATTGAATTTTAAATTTTCTGCTTAAATTTTTGATGAAGTATCAGAAAAATAATGAGATACAGTATGCCGTCCCGTGCACCGCTCCTTGAGACAAATCCGAACCGAATTTCAAACTTCCAGCATTCTCTTGGTATAATAGCTATCCGGTGACCCCAGCTACCGTACCCTTCCCGCCCGTGCCCTGGGATCTACCGTGTCCCCTCCTCACCAGGGTCAGCTATCCGGAAGACCCTCTCCCTCTCCCTCCCTTCCAAATGCTCTGTGTGCTTGTGTATGTGGCTCGTGGTGTCTGGCCGTTCCGTTCCCTTCCTCTGCCCCCTCTAACCCCTTGTGTGAGGGGAGGCAAAAAGTGGGCGTGGCCTATCGATTCCCCCCTTTTTCGGGGTACGGTAGCCAGGCAAAAGGGACGGACGGCCCCCGCTGTGGAGAGAGAGAGAGGGCGCTTCGGCCCGTCCCCCCCCCCCCTTCCACCGACAACACTCCACACAACCCCGCCACTTTTCGGCTGCCTATCCTTGCCGGTCCCTTTAAAATGGCTATCGGTTTTGGTACCATTCGAAAGCGCTTAAAAGGCCCTACAAGATGGACCAACTTTTGTCTGTTGACCTCCGCCCGCCTACCCACCGGGCTAGCTTTCCCAATTCGCACCCGATCCACCCAATTCCTATACCAATCGATTCAGCCCGGTTTTTTCCACTGCTACCCAAAATTTTGGGAGATTTTGACGACTTTAAAGTGCTTTTAGCAGCGTCGAAAGTCTTGATTTCCACCCGACATATTCCCGCATCGGCCGGTGCCCGTCCGGGGTGCAGTATATCGGCTCTGCTCCCTCTCCCCTCCCCCTGCTCCCTTCCCCACCGCTACCCGGTGTCCATTTGTGCTTGTGTGTATGGGTTCTCCTCGTTTCCTCTGCTCTCTCGACCTCTCTTTCCCCCATCCAAATGGCTAATATGAACCCCCCGTTGGAGCACAGCCTCCTCCACCACCCTCCTCCTTTTCCACGGCCTCCACCACCACCACCACTAACACACCATCGGGGCACCATTTGTGGGGTAGGAGACCACTTACCGGATCACGTCATCTGACGCGGATCAAATGGTACGCCGAAATCAATCGATAAAACCATAAATATCGATGTTCCCTTAAAACGGTGTGAATCTAAAAAAGCTACAAAGTCATTCGTCTTTCATAGCTTCTCGGATTCATTGCGAACCAAGCCGAGAAATTAGATTTATTGCCCAGAAAAACCGTGTGGAGAGCGATTAAAGGGCTCAGGAAGGCATAGGTTATTTAGCTAGAAACGAGGTTCGAAAATCAGAATAAATTGTCTCTGCTCCAGATTGCCTGGGCCCACTCTGCTCCCTTCTTTTTGATAGCGTTTGCTTGGGGATTTTGCGAATTGTAGAGACCTCCTGATCTATACGTACCTTCCTAATCTCTCCCAAAAAAAAGAGATTTTCAAGTAGAGGTCCCACCGTGACTATCCACCGTACACCAACTACCATCCCTCGCGCCCATTTCACACCTGCAACAGACTAATTAGCGCACCAAGTGGCGGTAGCGAGGCAGCGAGTCCTATTTTATTGCCGATCGGCAATAGTACTCCCCACGTTTTGATACGCGCGATTGCCTAGTTTTCCTTGAAGCTTAACTCAAAGACACCGCAAGGAAATGCCCGGTGAGAAATACGGTTTCCAGATTGCACTTGATGACCGTGGGGGGAAGGGGGGGGAGGAAGGGTTTGCCCTTCAACCATCTTCCCTTTTTTCACCACCATCCCGCCAAAAGCCTCCCCTTCCCTATCCCCCAAAAAAAACATCTGTTTCCGCAGCACCACTGATAGCTAAAAAATGACTGTAAAAACATGGAAATCTCAATGAAAGTCCTGGCAACCATTCCGAAAGTTTAAAAAATCTATCGGTCTAGGCTCGACCAGCGCCTGCAACCAGCCTTTCATTTGGGTACTGTAGTGGGTCCAGTGTTCCCTAGATGATCACCTGCAATAGAGCCGGTCAGTTGGGTAACACCTGGGCATTGCCCCCCAGGGCACAATTCCTCTTTCTAAAATTGGGCCTACGGTAGCCAAACACCCGGGATCCAGCACCTCCCCCTCCTTTCCCCCGGCCCGGATTATCCACTATTTGGGCCCGAAAAATGAGAGAAGGGATTAGGGTAGTTGAAGAGAGTCCTGAAAACCCCCGGTTACCCGTTTCACGGTTGGTAGGCGGGATACGGTAACTGGGGAGGGGGGCTCATTTCCGGCTGGCCATCTAAAGGGCCACTCATCTCCCCTCAAAACAGGTACCGCCCCTTCTACCATAATTGGGGCCACCCTCACCCTCCACAACCGACCCTCGTAATTATCTACGAGCGCCGGCGCATTTTTTGAGGCCGTCAATCCGAAAATCTCAATCGAAAAGTGAGCGAAAAAATTCGGTAAGGCTTTATTTTACCCCCCACAGCCGAAGGGTCTCAATGTTTTCGGTATTTTCGCTTATTTTGTCGTGATTTTTGCACCGCCATTCGAAAGAGCGTCGAAAAGTGTACTAAGAGTTTTAATTTGAGCCTAAAATAATGTAAAATAAAAAAGTTATAGCCAGAACATTCCGTCTAGGGAGGGGTAAAGTAAAGCGTAGCCAAAAATTCTGATGTTTACGTGGACTTGCGACTTTTTGACTTTAGCTCTAGCTGGCTTGAAGAAAGTTCTGTAAAAATTTCAGATCAAAAAGTTATCCAAACGAGGAAAGAGGCAAACAATCCTCAGCTTTTCCGGCCCGTACGCCCTAGTCAATCATCGGCAGTTGATGACAATTGGTCGTCCACTCCAGAGGTCAAACCCCCCCGCGCCCTTCTCGTCGGCCAGCCCGATCAGATTACATTTACCTCGGTGCGCTTAGCAAACCATTTAGCGCATACTAACAGATTACAATTTTTTGTTTGAGCTTAGTCTCCGTCATATTCACGACAAAAGCTTATTTTTATTTTATCTTACGAAGATTTTACGCTACCCCAGCCAGAATTTTTTGGTCTTAACTTTTTTATTTTACATTGTAGGCTCAAATTAAACCTCTAAGTATATTTTTCGGTGTTGAGAAAAGCCCGAAAAATAGCGATAATATCGATATCTGCAGATTTTTTTAACTTAGATTCTTAGACAATTCCCTTTTTGCCCTTGTTCTCGGGTCAACGCAAGAATTTCCGGCATACTCTACCTTTGACCAACCTTTCATTAGAGTGATAAGATGTGTCCCGGGGGCCCTAGCCGGGTTATTAGCACTTCATCTAGCAAGGAAGGCCGTCAATCTGGCCGTTGAGCAATCCCACCCATCCAACAACCATCATCCGCCTTTTATTTGTATGCAAATCGGACGTGACGGATGCATAGTAGAAGGGAGGGTTTTGGCATGGGTGGAGGTCGTGGCTGACACGATTCCCTCTAAGAACTCACACTTAAAGTTTTTAAATTCCTAAATTAACGGGTGGCGAAGTTGCTGACCATGACGTCCTCACAGCCCCAAAAATCTGATTTCCACTTGGAGACGACATGCCATCTGGCACCGCATCTTGAATAGGATAGCGGGGACCCATTGAGAGCAATTACCAGTAACCCAAAAGACTTCTCGCCGATTCCCTATGTCTCACTCCCTCTCTATTTCTCTCTCTCTGTCTGTCTGTCTCTCTCTCTCTCTCTCTCTCTCGCTCTCTCTTTCTCTCGCGGCTCTCTCTCTCTATTTTTCTCCAGCTCTTTTTCTCTCTCGCTCTCTCTATCTCTCTCCTAATATTTTTTTCACCGTAATTTCCACTCCATCATTTCACATTGTTCCAGGTGGCCTACCCACCCTGATGAGTTGTGCCTTGGCGGCCCCGACGCCGCATCATCAGACGCCGCACGCCGACGTCTGCAAGCAGGTATGGACCAAAATTATTTCGGTTGCCTTGCTCCGAGAAGCCACTTCAATAGATTTATGGTAGAACATTGTCCAGCGCTTCAGTGTTTTTGAACGTGGAAACATAGACAAACATCGGAGCCTGATGCGGATATCGGGCGCGGAGCCGGGTGGCAATTTTGTTTGCTTCGCGGCCTGCGTTTTTCGAAAAACGGCAAAGCAATGGGCTGCTTGTTTGGCGGGGGATGAAGTCAGGCGCGCATTTTAAAAGAAACGAAAGTGCAATTCCATTTTTCTCGACATAGGTCAATACCGACTTGTTCTATGCTATAAGGGTAGCTGCTAAATAGCGCTGCCCGTTCCCGGCTAGGATAACCAATAATAACAATAAATTTTCCTTAGATGGATGTCCCGAGCACTTCAAGATCGGCCATGGCTCCAACACAAATCAACGGGCAACCATCGACGTTGAGAAGATTGTTGTCAGATGAGGCGCGCGCCGCCGAGTTCAGAGCCCCCGAAAATGGGCGCCCAATCGGAATCGCACGACGTCCCACCGAACCCGAGAGGCCTGTGGTCCGTATCAACGTCTATTTTCTAAACTCTCAAAGCCCCTATCTCTCAACTTCACCTTTTTCAGCCTGTCCGCTCCCAACGGCAAAGTCGACAAAAGGGAGAAGTCCTCGACAACTATGTCGATCCGTCCGAATTTAAACAGCGTACGGTTTTTCAAGGATCTTTTAAGCTTCGTGAAAATTTCCTGACTAATGCTCTTGATTTCAGCCCGGCCGGTGAACCCTCCAATTGGCTTGCCGCGCCAACCCTTTAAGCCACCACAATCCACCTCCGAACAGGACAAGCAAATTGGTCAGTTCTTTTCACGGAAATTTTGAAAATACCAATAACAATTTGAAAATTAACATTTCTATTTCAGAACGGCTAAAAATCCACATGGTCGGGCCAAAAACAAAGGTGGCGGAGGAGAAAGCCGAGGAAAAGGTCAAGCGACGGCTGAGCGGACGGATAAACGTTGGCGATGAACATCAAGTGGGTTAGGAAAGCAGAGAACTTTGCTCGTCATTAAGGAGTCTTTTGAAAATAGAATTTAGGCAATATTCGGTGAAACGAGCTGGCAGCAGCCGAGCCGTGAACGCCTTGACAAGGAGCCCGATCGCGATCAGGTCATGTGGCGGTCAGACAAGAATAAGGTAAAAAAAAATGGCTGCCCTTTACATAACCCCCCCCAGTCGGAATGTTTTGGCTATGACTTTTTTATTTTACAGTATGGTAGGCTCAAATTAAAACGCTATGTATATTTTTCGACACTCTATCGAATGGAGTTGCAAAAATCCCGACAAAATAAGCGAAAATACCGAAAACTTTGAGACCCTTCGGCTGTGGGGGAGGGGAGAGTAAAGTCTTACCAAAAAAATAGCCGCTGGGTTTGAAATTGCATTAAAACCATGTTTATCGGATTTTATCTGTAAATTGCAGCTCTCATCCGCTGAACTCGACGATGCCTGGCATGCAGTACGCCGGCATTGCGGTGGACAGATTGGTCTTGATGCGGTACGTTTTTCGGGTGAATCAGGAAGTAATCGCTTTCTTCAGATGCTCCACCGGTTGATGGTATGCCACTACGATATCAATGAGATGTTGCTATATGTGGAGAAGGAATTGTATGAGGTTAGATTTTTGGGGGTTCTTGGTTATTTGCAGGGGGAGGGGGAATAAAATAATGGTGTTTTTTGACCCAAAATGATCAAAATTTAGACTTTATCAAATGCTTTGCTAACCTTTTTAATTTTTGTAAAATAACCACAAACTTCACACTTTTCAGAACACGCCCGAAATGGAGCCACTTTCCGAGGGGCAGCGCGACGAGTTCGAAAAGTATTTGAAGAAGAAGGGATCCGCTGCTTGCAAGAAGTTCCGATTGATGCAGGACCGTTTCGTGGGTCTTGAGAACTGCGTTATTAAAATCTGAGATTTATCGTTATCGACTTTTCCTGATCATTAACTACGCGTTAACATTGAAACTTTTTTAGCTCAAAAGCCACTGGTTGGGTGAAATTGTTGCCTACTACTATAATACGAAGCATCGCGGATGTCCGACAGAAGAATACAACTTATGCACTTGTCGGAGGTGAGCTCAATGGGCAATATTGCAACAACACCCGCTTGCAGCAGTGATTCGAAGGAAAAGCCGGTGATTTCGCGAGTCGAGTGCACGAATTGCACAAGATTGATTTGGAAGGATCGGTCAGCAAAAGTACGGCTCTGTCCCGTCTGTGACCTGTACACAAGGTCAGCTTTTAAGACAATACTTTATTGAAAGGAATACAGGGTGTCCCAAAAAAAGACCCATACCTAGCGGCCCGCAGTCAAGTCCTATTTTAGCTACTTATCGAAAGCTCGCGAAAAGGCGAAACAACAAGCGGGTTTCATTTTCTAAGATTTCCATCGATATTTATGGTTTTTCTATAAAAACCGGTATTTTTCAACAGGAATTTCGCAATTAGTATGCAGATCTTGCATAAATCAGCAGCTTTCATGGGTTTTCGACGCAAATTAGCGAATAATAATGCATAATAAAGAAAATGAACCCTCCTTGTTTCTCGCCTTTTCGAGAGCTTTCGATAGATACCTAAATCGTAAAAATCGGACACGACTGCGGACCGCTAGGTAGGGGGGGGGGGTTTGGGACACCCTGTAGTGAGTAGTTCGGGCAACTATTTCCTCAAAAAATACTTTAGGCGAACCGGATTGGATCGAAGAATTGTCACTCCGTTGACCACCGCCGAGAAGGAATTCGTCTTGAAATGGCGCGACCTGCAAAGAGCGGCTGGTCATGAGATTTCGATGAATGCGGTTAGTTTTTTTTGCTTAGCGTATGGCAAAGTTAGCTATAACAAAATAAACAACCTCTTTTACAGGTGAGAAAAGAGGTGGAAGAAGAGAGACAGCGAGATGTGCGGCTTCGATGGGATGATAATGAAGATGTGGGCCATTTTTCTCCTAATTTACTAAAAACAGATTGTTTTTGGCTACGAATTTCTTGATTTACTAAATTCTTTATGTTCTAGATCCTTGGCAAAGTACCCTCAGCACAGAAAAAGCAAAAAATGAAACTTGACGATATTGCCAAGCAATCAAAAACGAAGACTGTCACGCTCAACGACACGTAAGTCTAGTTACGGCTTCACGTTCCAACTGAACCTTTCCAGCTGTCCTCTGCTCTGCCCTCAAATGCAAAAGATTAAAAACGCGATTCTGGTCGAGTTCACCCCACAAGAGAATCTGCAAATTGTCAAAGGTCGGTTGTTTTTCGGTTGGCGAACAACGCAACTCTTTCAGCAATTCGAGAATACGGCCAAAAGTGGGGTACGGTGGCGTGCAAGGTCGGCAAGGAACCGCAAGAAGTCGAGCAATTCTACCACAAATATAAGGCGAAATATGGGCTCGAGACGGTAGGAATTGGTTCTTTAGGCTTCGCAGGGGGGGAGCCAATTTTTTTCCTGGCGGTCCCGGTTGACCTAGTAATTAAATATAAAGTGTTTTCACATTGTTTTCAGTAAGTTTCAACTACATTTAAAGGCGAAAAATTTTCTAAAGTTAGAAAAATGTTTGACAACGTCGAAAATTTGGTCATTTTGGGTCCTTCCCCCCACCACCGCGAATCCTAAAGGTTCCATAGGATTTTGCGACCTAAAATTTAGTAGTTTTTATGCTTAGAAATAGTTAAAAATAATTTAGGAACGCATCCGCTATTTATAGAAAAAACTTAGGCTTGAGCCGAAAAAATTGGTTTACTCTATTTACGTGCCATTTTCAGATCGGTCAACCGCTAAAAGAATCGGGTCATGTCCAACTGAACCGTAAGGTGCCACGATCACTGTCGACATCTCCAGATTCCGGAATATTTGAAACGGGATCTCGACTTTCGGGCGGAAAAAGGCCCGCATCCCCCGCAGGGTCGAACGGACACGCGAAGCAGCCGCGGAAATCGCGTCCAAACGTGTTGGCAGTTGATTACACGGAGTTCGAGTGATTCGACTAGTTTTCTAACAATTTCCCAAATCTCGATTCCAATTTCCAAGGCCAACTGCAGCTTTTACAGTGATCACCCGGTGTCAATACTTTCATTTGTCTTAAATGTGCCTGCCTATCTTGTCATCCACTTCTCGGTCAGCCCCCCCCCCCACGTTTATACCGTTTTCGTCTACTGTTTTCTCCATTCCCTTCAATACGCTTCGGGTCTATAGTAGCATCGCGTACATCTTCTGAGATCACCTTTGTAACCATTGTCAAACATTACCGCCGCCAACAATTAGCCTTAGATTTTTCGTTTTTTTTCCGCTTATAGAGAAACTATAGGGGAAGGGAAAGCAACGTAATGCTACGCGTGCGAAATTAGGTTTGTCCTAACAAAAAGACGGTTTTTAGTTTAGCCGGGGTCTTAAGTTGGGATCAGGTCTAACTTGGGCAGATTTCACGCTGTGCAACCACCATATCCCGAAAGTTATGCAGGCCTAAAACCCGGAAACGCCTAAAATGAACCGCGCTCTGCGGTTTCCCCAACTTAAATCGTTCATAACTTTCGGAAAATAGTAATTTTGAAAATTTGGTAACTATAGTCGTCATCAGTGCAAAATTCTACACAACCTAGACTATTGCCGGCGTGAAATCCCTGCGACCTCAAAAACCTCCATTTGTATGTATTTCAAACAGTCCCAATCCCTCTAATCAAACATTCACTTGCAACCTGCTTCCAGTGCCCGCCAACTCCCGCCAATACAAAATTCTTTTTGATACACGTTGTAGCTCCACACAGGTTCACATTCCCCCCTTTTGCATCCACGATCCATTGATATAAATATTTGTGAGAGGCCTTTATTAGCTTGTGCTTTTGAGCAATAAATTTACGATATATGCGGCCGATGTTGATCCAGGTGTCATACCATAATCGACGTTTATGCGAAGGCGAAGCGCTAAGCGGCTTTTAAAGTGGTTAGGAAGACTGGCCCAACTCCTAAAATGTTTGTTCATGGGACATAAGACGCAAAGCGCTCGCCCAGGATTTTTTAGGGCCTGTTTGGGCCGGAAAATCCGTCAATTCGTACATTCCGCCGCAGTTTCTGTAAACAGCAAGATAATAAAATGATTTTAATTATCAAAATCGGCAACCAAAACCATCGCGAATGGTTGGCGAAAGATCGTTATGCCACTCCCGCGAGCAGAAAAATTATCTTTCCCCAAAAAGATTTCGTTTTGCAAATAGTCAGCGGCTTTTAGCAAGGAAATAAATTTTCACGTCTTTGTAACCACTAGCCCTTTAGTATTTCATTTTGTAACACACCAATACCCAATGTCTGCCAGAAAATTTTGACTTCCAAGCCCCTTTGATTTAACATATAACCTCCGCTTGTGAGGGTCTCGGGGTCAGGGTGTGGCTTGCGGGGGGCATTAGAGGAAGTAGGGAGCGGAGAGTGCCGAGAAACAAAGCCTCGTAGAGAGTCGGAGACGCAGAGAACACATGGCGTCCGGCCACACACGTCGCCACCTGGCCGATCGATGACTAAAGGGTGGCCATTGTCACCAGGGGACAAGGTTACGGTAGCGGGTACCACCGGACAATTGGTGGGGAAGAGTGGGAGAGGGATGGAGAGAAATTGCGCACAGGACCAACTGACATCCGAGCAGGAGAGGGAGATAGGTGCTTAGGGTAGACAGGCAACGAGCGCTTCAGCCAGCCTAAAGCTTTGGGGAAAAGGCGCGGGAAAGGGGGGGGGAAACGGGAAAGGAGAGGGGGGGGAAAAGGGGGGGGGGGGGGGAAAGAAAAAAAAGAAAAAAAAATAGAAAAAAAAAAAAAAAAATTTCGACATTTTGAAATTTTGACATTACGGTGGCAAATCATGCGAAAAAGAATAGCCAATAACTCTCCCATTAATTTTTCGACTTTTCCTAAATTTTTTCTTAATCTAAATTGGAATCACCGCCACGAACAATTGATTTTTGTCGTTTGGCGGTTCAATGGAGGACTGATAGCAGTGGATATAATTGCTTTGCCGCGGGTACTGTATCTATTGATTTATTTCTCCGCCAATTCTCATCGACCCATCAGCGTGAAGATGCCGCAGTAGTTGGCCAGCGTTCTGGAAATAAAGGTTTATTTCAATTTCCCCAAATCGATTCTATGATCTTCTTTTTATAAAAATTTTTTTTAAAAAGGGGTTTTTTTTTCCTTTAAAGCCCGTACCCGATCCCCGCATGGGCAGAACATGTGCACATCTCGGAGATCTCCTTCTTCCAGTTGATTGCCCGTGAGCATTGCCGTACTGATCGTCTGGCGTTCCGATCCGTAATGTACGGCATGCACCTAAAAACGTCAAAATTTGCTATATCAGCGGAGCGGCGCGCTTATCAATTATCGTTATTTTTTATGATAAATAATTTTGAATTTCGGCTATAATTCGCAATTATGAGTTCGACATGAAAAGACTACTATTATCAATCGAACTAAGCGAAAAGGGAAAAGATTTGTTGAAGCACAATTTTTTGTAATCGATGTTATTGAGCTTTGCATGTAAGTGCCAAAGACATACCCGATACGATCAAATCTGAACCCATTCTTGTTCTTGTCGTTCACAAAACACAACTTCACGCAGCGACCGACGGCCTTGGCCGCATCACCCACTTTCTGAAACCGCTTTTAAGGGTGGTTCGCTTTGGAACCCAAGGTAAGACTTTACTTTACCCCCCCCCACAGCCGAAGGGTCTCAAAGTTTTCGGTATTTCCGTAATTTTTTCGGGATTTTTGCAACGCCATTCGATAGAGAGTCGAAAAATATACTAAGAGTTTTAATTTAACCCTAAAATAATGTAAAATAAAAAAGTTATAGCCAAAAAATTTCGGCTGGGGCGGGGGTAAAGCAAAGTGTAGCTGAACCCAAAGTTCCCCCAAAAGAAAATGGCAATGTAAAATACCTGAATATCCGAGGCATTGATCGTTTTCAGGAAAACGGCGAGCTGTTGAGTAATCACCTCTTCGGCCCTAAAAACAACCTCTACATTTCATGGAAGCGCTATCGCCTACCGATCAATCAGCAGATTCAGATCCGCCGATGGCACTTGTTTTTCCTGTTTTCCGGGCGGAGTACAACTAAATAAATCTCTACGAAAGGCTACCAAAATCCGCCGAACGCTTTGATGTTGTTCTGGAAGCAGAGCAGCAGGTTGTTCATGAATTCCTTCTTCTGACGGAAGCATTCCCGGATCACGTCCGTATTTTGCACAAGTCCCATCTGCAATGCAACGGGAATCCATAAAATCTTTGAGGTTACCTTTTTCACTTCCTCAAAACATGGATCCATTAGACATTCAAAAGCTTGTTCTTTGGCTTCCTCGAAGCCATCGTTCATCTCCTAAACGAATCATCGTTTTACAGCTTAAAGAGATGTTGCTGCGAAAGAGAGCGCCCAGGGGTGAGGCGCAGAGATATTTTCTTTCCCGCGTGTAATCGCTTGACTTATGCCGCCGCTATCCCTTTAAAGGGGCTCCGAAATCTGGTCCACGGCCCCCTGCGTTGATTCCTGGCAAATAGCCAGATTCGCCCGCAGCGCGACCGCGCCGCAGGATCTTTTGCCCCTGTTTGGACGTGAAAACGATTGAATCTCAAACGTTTGAAGCTACTTCTGGAATTCCCATCGAATTTTGATTCTAGACTTTTTAATTATGAAAATTGATCAGAGAATCACCGAGATCGAGAGATTGGGTCCCTTACAACGCATTACGACATGTAATCCCACGCAATCAAAAAGTTGTTTTCATGGTGAAAACCTTTCGGTTTTTCTCTAAAACTTTGCGTTTTTCGCAACGAAATCAATTTGCGAGCACTTTTCGGCGGCAATCCTTTTGTTTTTGACCAGTAGGTTCGATCCCCGCATGCACGAGTTTTCACTTCATAGCCCCTTTAAATAATCAAAGGCGAGAGACAAGGGATAGAAGGCTTGATCTGGAAAACCAACCTTACACGTGCATTGCCGAATATTGACTGTCGACTGCCGAGAATCGTGTAGGACGGTTAACGCCGAGTTTGAAACCTAAAAATTAGCAATTTCAATCTAAGAACAGCACATAGGCCTTCCCTAAGTATAAAGCCGATAATAATTAGCTGAAAAAAACATTACAAACTTTTGCAAACCAAAAAACCAATTTAATGCAAATTTCACGCTGTTATCGATATACATAGTGCGTGCGCTCCTATCGCCTTACCATGGCTTCAAATTTAATCGCCGGCACCCCATAAAGAAATAAAATTGACGATATCAACATGGCGAGACGGTGAAAAGTGGGCGAAATCCGAGAAATGGTTGGCGCGCCATATTTATCTCGGATATTTTGGCGAGGCGTTGGCACGACGGCCCACAGTGTAATCACAGCAGATCCTCTATCCCTGTATCATTTGGCATGATTCTGTCTCTCTTCTTTTTCTCTCTCTCTCTCTCTCTCTCTTTTTTTTTTCCCTTTCTCTCTCAGTCACTGTCGATTTCGACTCTTTTCCCTTGATCACACAATTGCTGCGCTGTGCAAAAGGGAAAGGTTGTACTGTCCACGGGGAAAAGAAGCGAAAACAATGGTCAAGGTCACTTTTTATGGAGAGTCGTTTATTAGGTGAGTAGAGCGCACTTTTAAAGAAGTAAATTATGTAATTGTTGCTTTCAAGGTCAGTCAACAAATCATAGTGTAGACCGCGGGCGGCAAATATCGTCTTGTCGAAATTTCATTCTGTTTTTTGCTAAATTTCATTCAAAATATCGTCTAAACTTGTTTTTTGTAACAAAATGAGTATAAGTAACTCATTCATCCCTCAAAACCCCAATTCTAATTCCAAAAACGCAGGTGAATTAACCGATCCTTTCCGGAATTTCAGGGACCTCCGAACGGGACTTCCGGCCAATTTGGCATCCGCGATTCCCGGAAGCCGCTAATTCGGGTGGTGGTGGGCTCGTTTTGCAGGAGATCCGGGTGCGCTTCAGAAGTGCCCTC